TCCTCGAAGCAGCCGATACTTTCGAGTAATCGTCCTTTTTCCAAAAAACCTCGCCGCTAAAAGGACCTTCCAGTTCCGGAAAGCCTCCCGATCACGTCCACAACGGACCACTCGAGCGACGACCTTCTCGCGTTTCCGGACAATGGTATCGCTCTTCGTAAACAAAGCGTGGGTCCTCCCGAGGCGTTCGCTCAAGGAATTTCCCCGGCGTTAGGAATCCACCATAAAGCTCCGTATCCCGCGGAATCGCAATAATTGCTCGCACGGAGTTCCGCAATCGAGACGACCTCCAGGTTCCTCGGGGTCGGTCCGAAACCCGGAAGAGAAAGCTGCGAGCCGGTGGCGGTTTCCTTCCGGAGTTTTCCTCTTCGGTCGACGAGAGACCCCGCGACGGTCTCTGGTCTGGTTTCCCACCTCCGGGGCACTCCCCGTTGAAGTCCCGCGAGACTCGCAGGTATCGACGTCTCGGCCCTCGGCCGGCTTTTATTCACGGGTCACTGCTCGCCGTGGACATTCGGTATGCGCGCCACCCGGCGAAACGAGTTCCTCGCGCCGCGGCACGAGAGACGCTCTCCGGGCGAGGCCCGAGTCCTCCCGGGTGCTGGAACGCGGACCGAGAAGGCGCGACGCCTGGGCGTCGTCGAACGGGACCCCGGCCCTACCTGGCTTCGTCCTCTAGGACCGCCGGGCCGCCTCCTGGACGGACCGCATCTCGACGCTCTTCCTCGGTCCTCTCGCGAGAACTGCCGACCGCGACGAGTGGTGGCTTCCGGGCAGCGGAAGACTGGCGGTCGCGATAAGTCGACTACGGTGATCGCCCCGCTCGCCGGTCGCCGCGATACTCACCGAGAAAGTCGAGGTGAGTTTCCACCGCTCTCCGCGGCCCCCCCTCACCGTCCCCCGGCGCGCCGGTGGGTCCTCCTCGCTCCGGCGACCCTTTTTCAATTTACGATCGCTCGCGCGTCCTCGTCGCACTCCGGCCCCCTCCCGTGGCGCCGTCTCGCTCGCACTCGCCGACTCTGCCCGCGGCGCGCCGTCTCCGTCCCTCGCGATCGGGCTTCCCCCACCACCGGGCCTCGGCAGGACTCGGCAGGACTCGGCGCGCCTCGGGCAACTTCGGCGCCGGGGAAAGGGTCGCGGCGCGATGCGCGGCTCGGCGGTGCGAGAGAGACCGAGCGAGTGCAGCCGGGAGGCTGCGAGGACCGAGAGAGCCCGAAAGAGCGGGCATCGCACCACGCCCCGGTTTCGAGTTTTAATGGATGCGAAAATTGAGGCGTTTCGAGGCTTACGCTTCTTTCCTGCTCGTGGCTCCCTTCGAGGGAGGACTATCGAGGGCGGGCCTAAGGCTTTGAAGGCGCCACGTTACCTCGAAGACGATAAGAGATTTTTCCCGAATAATATATTAATATTATACCGAGATAATTATAAAATCACGACTTCGAATAATTTCAACGCACCCTAATTGATACGTCGGTGTCAATGGTCTTAAATTTCTGCGTTTTGTCATTCACGGACGTAATAAGATAACGGCCCTTTCAACGAATGTCAAAGATATTGTCATAATTAACATTACCTGATTTTTTTTTTTTTTCTATTATACCTTCGATAACTTTTACCTGCGTTCAATCGACACGATTGATGGATTCTACCTTGGAATCGTTACGACCTTCCTAAGTATCGCAAAAATGATCAGAATGATAAAAAATGATCTCTATGCCATTCTTCATAATTCCGACCCTGGAATTTAATGTATGCGGGAATGCATCGGTGAAACTTCGAAATAAATACTGATGACGAATCTTATAAGCCCCCGGCCTGTCGGTACGATACGGTGTTCTCGTTGTTACGTTCTCCGATTTAATTTGACCGAAAGTTTTCGAACTCTAGGCGGGCCCCGATTAGTCGGGATTTATCGCAAAGGGGATGCGGAGAGCCGAGGCGGTCGAATTAGGTTAGGTCGCGCCACGCGAGGCACGACGGGGAGAGATGGAAAGAGAGGGTCGGATGCGGGTACCGCGGGAGCGACGAGGACGGAAAGAGTACCGAGAGCAGAGGCGGACTCGAAAGCCCAACTTTACGGCAGGGCTCGTTTTGACGTTTGAGATACGCCGCGCCCGTTGACTCGTTCGATTGCATTCGCCGAAAGGATTGATCGATGGAATCGTTGGGTCGAGGACGATGCAGGTAGATTCTCTGAAAGGATTTATCGCAGCTGCTGATAAAATCCAACTCCCAACGAGTTCGAAAAGGTTCGAAAATAGGCCCGCGAGTTTAGAACTCGTGTCCCAGACCACGTGCTTGATTGAGATGCATCCTCGAAAAGGAGTCTTTTAACTTTGTACTTTAGACGTTGAGGAAACCTCGTGGAAATTCCAAAGTTTTACTACCGTTCGGAAAATCTTCTTGATTTTAGCCCATCGGATTTTGGCATTCCAAGCACGTACCTCTTCGCGTTTTTGGCAAACGAGAGAACGGACGATGCAGTGCCAAACATAGTTTTCTAGTTTTCTTTTCTTTTCTTTTTTTCATGTCGGTAGATTCGTTTCAAATCTGCAGCAATAAATCAGTTTAAGTAGTCTCCCGTGGATTTGACGTGGTCAAGAATTCTCATTTTAAGTCCAATACTCGTGCCCCGCATTTCGCGTTAAAAGACCTTTATCCGTAGTCTTTAAATGCTAAGAAACTAAAAAAACAATGCTATGAATTGTTCATTATTTTACTTAAGTATTCAGAATTTTGAAACATGATTTTATCCGAGAACTTCAGTTTGGCGGTAACTCGGTAACCCTTTTCTTTCGGATCGAGTATTGGAAAACCCGTAGAAAACCTACAACAGTGATCGGAATGGTGCACTGATAAAAAAAAATGTATATATAATTTTATAACACTTTAATTGAATATTTTAATCAGACATCGTAGACTCAAGTGAAAGTTTCAATGGGTAAATAATTATTTCTTTACGGGAATTAAAAGTGAGATACTTTCAACCAAACGAAAAATGTAGAAATAAGTAAAACTTTCCTAGGTTCATATGTGCCAATAATTATGAAAGTGGTCTAAGTCAAAATTAAAAAAAAAAAAATGAGTTATCAGTTATTTCACGCCGTACTATTTGAAACGAAATTAATTCAATGTAATTTCGAAACAAAAAATATATGACAGACCACTTTCATAATTATGGGCACATATATGACTAAAATGTATTCGCCTCCAGTTGTACATTTTTCTCAGGGTAGAATAGATCGCGTCAGTAAAGGGAGCGGATAAAAGGGAATTAAATGTGAAATACTTTCAACCAAACGAAAACTACAAATAAGTAAAACTCTCCTAGGTTCATATATGACTAAAATGTATTCGCCTCCAGTTGTACATTTTTTTCAGGGTAGAATAGGTCGCGTCAGTAAAGGGAGCGGATAAAAGGGAGGCGACGTGCGCCGAGAAACGGAAATGAGAGAGGTGGAGAGAGAGAGAGCGGAAATTTGATGGACCTCGGCGGAATTCGATGTTTGTACTTCTTTCGGATGGAGGTCGATAAAGGAGGGGGGATTATTAACCCCGAAGGCGGCAAACCGGGGTCGACGGCTACCAAGGGAGCGAGGTCGGCCCGACTCCTGGAGCGGCGGAATTAGGTTAGGTCGCGCCACGCCTCGTAGGTCGAGAAATTCCCGTCGGGGCTGAATCACCCGGGGAACGTCCGTCCCGGAACGATGCTCGGGTTGCCGTTTAACGGATATTAGTCTGACGGTCTCTCCTAGGAGGCGAACGGGTCGTCGACCAAAGCTGGACCTCGCAAACTGGAGGATTCTTCTGCCCCCTTTGTCGCTCCACGGACTGCATTTGGCGACGAGCAAAGTTCGTCTTGGTCTTGATCTTCCAAATATGCTCGGGTCTGGATCTTGGTCCACGTATCTTGAAGATCAAGACCAAGACCGGGAAACAGAGACTGATTTCGCTCGTTAACCCCTTGCCTTACGATTTCAATTCCAATAGCGCGTGCCATGAACAAGAAAAATGTTGGTCATACATCGGGCCATTCCACGGTTTGGCTGAACGTTCAGTCTCACGCGTCTCTCATACGTCTTGTTTATTTTTGGCCCGATTGACATACCACGCTCTCACACGTTTTTTTTCACGTTTGACCCGATTGACATACCACGTCTCTCACACGATATTGTAGGTGAAGAAGTTAAGGTGATGTGAAACCCTCTTCAAATCAGTCGATTCGAATACACTTTTTTTTTTTTTTTTTTAAGGATATTGGATCAAAGTATCCGAAACTTTGACACATGACTCGTGATCAGCTAAGAATTGTCCTGACAGATTAAAAATATGGATTTTTGGAAAAAAAAAAATGTTTAACTTAGCCCAGGCCAGACCCAAAATGGCGTCGAGCTCTCATATCTCAATTAATATACAATTATCGAAGGCTCTGATATGAGATACGAAAGGGTCAGGACAATTTTACGACAATTTTGAACACTCCGGTAATCGGTAAACTCGTATTTGAACGGGATAAAGATAGAAAAAAGTGTCCTATGCGCTTCTATGCTAAAACGATAGGAATACGAGGTCTCGGAGTGAAAATTTAATTGACCTGGAAATCACAAATGGCGCAGGGGGTCCCTCTGCAGTCAATTAGGGCCCCAGAAAGCATGAATCCAGAGGATTTCTGGAGTTCTACTTCGATTTCTTTATAATTAATCTACAAAAACGACAGGTGGAGGTATGCCATTTGGTACAATACCCAATATAATTCGACAGAGCTGTCGATATAAAAACGAACGTCGGCGACGTAGGTATTTATAAAAATCTTCTTTACCGACGTCGATCAAGTTCCTCGACGTGTTTCACCTCACTTTAATGCCAAGAGGAACGAGGGATCAGCTCGAGCGTGAATCGGAGGATAGAGTGCGGAATGGAGATCCGAGTCCTGTGCGGGGAATTGCGGATCGCCGCGGAAAGAAGGCAGGAGAGGGGCGAAATAAAAGGTGGCGGCTTACCTTGAGCGGGGTAGAAACATGGACCCGTCGATGAATACGGAGCCGGAGAGCAAGATGTACCAGCTGGTGGCCAGCTCGCCGGTGCTGAAAGCATCGATTCGCATCGCTTACTATAGTAATCAAAAACCGGCGGTACTCCTGCCGAGAGTACTCCGTAGCTTCTGCGAGCGCATCGAGCGTTGCGGTTTGAGGCCTCGTGGCCTCCTCCGTATCGGACCCGCTGCGGAACCCCCGCGTGAAACGATACTTCGGGACGATCTCTCGTCGAGCATTTTTTACCCTACCTTTTTTATCTACGAGTCTCACGAGGCTTTCAGGAAGAAACGACGTCGAGTACCGGGCGAAGATCTAAGGTGAAGTGAAACCCCCCCTTAAATCAGTCGATCCGAATAAGAGACTTTCTTTCGAGAGAATTTGACCGAAACGTCGGAAACTTTGACACGAAACTTGTAACCACCTAAAAATTATCCTAGCACTTTGAAATTTTAATTTTTTAAGAAGAATTTTGTTTCAACTTACAATTAGCCCAGACCAGAAGCAACATGGCGTCGAGCTCTGATATTTCGATCGATATCTAATTAGTATTCAAATCGGCATTACCCCCAAAAAGGGTATAGATGAATTTAACTTTATCGACGTCGATTAAATTTCTCAGCCCCTTCCATACCCTCTTAACACATTCGCGACCGGCAAATTATTTCCGTTTGAAATACCGAGTACCGGGGAAAATAATGAAATTCTGAAACTGGTTGCCTCAAACTTGTATCGTGTATCGTCATGGACGTGATTCACGTCAGCGGCAATCAGGAGTAGAATTTAAAATGACGTGAATTCACGTCAGCGGCAATCAAGAATAGTATTTAAAATGACGTGAATTCACGTCAGCGGCAACCAGGAATAGAACATGTAAAGACGTGAATTCACGTCAGCGGTCGCGAATGTCTTAATGAAAACTTGAAAATCCCAGATCCCGCTTTTTATCGTCTTAACTGGATCCGAGTCGGAAAATCGAATGGAAAATAAAAAAACACGGCGGACGATTTTCTCCCTTTTCCGGGGCAGGAAACCGAGCACCGTTGCACGTCGAATCGTATCAGGCCGAGTGCCGTCGTAAATCCCGACCAGCTCGCGATCTCGTAGAAAGAACCCTAAGAGGAGGCAAAGGAGCGACGATGGAATGCCACGCGGCAAACTAGGAGTTACGGTGCGGCCTTTCTACCCGGTGCACGTACCGGAAGCTTCCACCGCCGTTAGAAAAGAGGATCACGATCGCCGGGACGGCGATCTTACATCGGCCCAGGGGATGATACGATTTACATGCGAGCCTATGGAATCGAGAAGGGATAGGGAAATCTCCAGACAATTCGGTTTATCCTTCGGTAAATCAAGAGGTATCGCTGGCACCGGCCGAGCGTAACGGCGTCTGGTTTAGTCTTACCTCTGCCAATGCCATGATCTATGAATATCTCTTATTCGTATCGAGCCCGTCGATAATATCGCCCTTTCAAATTTATTCAAGGAATCGGACCCCGCCGTAAATTATGAGTCACGACGAACCAGCGATCTTAATTATTAATATGCGATTCCCATTTCTGCGAGCGACCCGAAGCTATTCCCGGAACTTTGACGCTCGAATAGATGCGATGACACTTTTTTCTCCTTTTTTTTTTTTCTTCGGTTATGTCCCGATCAAAGTGATATTAAAGGGTCATTCTATATATGTGCCCATAATTATGAAAGTGGTCTAAGTAAAAATTAAAAAAAAAATTAGTTTATCAGTTATTTCACGCCATATTATTTCAAACGAAATTAATTCAATGTAATTTCGAAACAAAAAATATATGACTTAGACCACTTTCATAATTATGGGCACATATGTGAAACGTTAAAATATTTATTATACTTCTCTTCGAGCTGGATGCACCGAATCGATGGACACTTTAGCTTGAGATTGGGGATGCCCTAAGGAAGAACGCGATGCTCGTGAAAATTCATTTTTCAAATGAAAATTTCTTGGCTGCCCGGAATAGAATCGAGCACACGTAAAATCGTGTGCTGACGTTTCCATCGATTCGGTGCATCCAGGCTGCAGAAGGGTTTTATAAATATTTTGACGTTTCATATATGTATATAATAACCCTTTCATATCACCTTAATGATAGAGGAAGAACCCGAAGACGTTAAAATTCCGAATGCAGATGTTAAGCTAGTTTTACGGCGAGGAACATACTTAATCTTTAACTGTAAACGACTTGCAGACCAAGTCATCCTCCCTATCCCGTTTTCTCCTCGTACTTTTTAGTAATATAATTTCTCTATACTCCTCACTAATTTAATTCAATTACTACGATGCTCAACCTTCCCTAAAAGATTTGATGTTTATTCGACTTAACTCTTATTAGCACTTTACAGTGAAAAAATTGAGGTGGTCATTGCGACCACGTGTTCGTGTTTGCGATACCAAATAAAATCGTATAAAAGCATGTCTACGTTAAGGAGTAATATAAGTGACTCCTGATGTCTACAAAAATTACATCGGAGACAAAAACTAAAGAAACATTGCAAGGAAAAGGATTTTGAAGGAAAATCATAGAATTGCCCGGAAATTTGAAATGCGTTTACAGAAGCGACTTGGCGCTACCTTTCGAGGGCGCGACTGACTTTTTCATAACTACGATAATGCTATCGATAAACTAGAACTCTGTTTGCGGTTCCAGCTGTCGGTAACACAGCGCTCTTCTATCCTTCTCCGCCATCGAGGGACGAGATGTTCGTACCGACACGACTGTTCATTTTATCAAAAGTTCCCTTATCCCTCGAGGCAATGCCAAAGCGACTTTTTACCACACGAGTTCACCGACATCCTCCTTCCTCCAAATTAGAGAAATACCACAATTTGTCGACCAGAACCTTTCTATCGACAAGAAATGCTAAGACTCCGACTCTATATATCATACAATTTTTATACGAGTCTATCGAACGATTTAAACGTCTTTCATAAAAAAGACTGTGTGCACGGAATGCGTCCAATTTGTATACCCTTCCATGCCTTAAGGTGATACAAAAGTTTGATATACACGTACCAAAAAGTGAAAATATTTATAAAAAAAAATATATATATAAAATCGAAATAAAAATATCTTTCTTAGCTTCTTGTCCGAGATAAATGGAAAATTTTGTTCGAAGAATGAAATTTCACGTTCTTCCTTAGAGCCTCCATAATCACGTGTTAGTGTCAGATAATTCGGTGCATGCAGTTTGGAGAAAAGTTTTAGAAATATGTTGACTTCTCGGTACGTATATATTACATTGTCATATCACCTTGACTTCTGATCGTCCCGAGGAAAGGTGATGTCGGCGAAACTATCGACCCTTATCACGTTAGGTATACTCACTAGTAGAGCACGTGGTTGGCATTGTGCCTCTCGTAGCGCACGATCTTGCAAAGCCCGCGAAGAACGGAGTCCCGACAAGGCCTGAGGGCTTCCAGTCCCAGCAATCCGTAGTAAATGATCTGCAGGTCCTGCAATTGAAATGAAATCTCGGATAAAAGCATACCACGTGGAAGTTTCGAGACTTTTGCGTGGCACTAGCGCGCAACGAGAGCGGGAGTACGTAGGTGTAAGTAGGGTAAGGAAATGCGTAGCGTGGATTTCAGTGCTGGGAAAAGGTAAGAGAGAGACCCCTTCTCTCGGCTGAGTTTCGTGCGAAACCGCGGCCATTCTTCCCGAGGGAAAATTCTTTTCCGAGAGACTGCTACGTAATAAACTACTAGGCTCCGATACGAGAATCGAAAGGGTCAGGACAATTTTACGGCAATTAAGAACACTCCGGTAATCGATAAACTCGAATTAAAATAGGATAAAGGGAAAGAAAGTGTCCTATGCTGTTCTATGCTAAAACGATGGGAATACTAGGTCTCGGAGTGAAAACTTAATTAACCTGGAAATCACAGATGGCGCAAGGGGTTCCTCTGCAGTCAATTAGGGCCTCGGAAAGCATGAATCCAGAGGATTTCTGGAGTTTTACTTAGATTTCTTTATAATTAATCTACGAAAACGACAGGTGGGGTATGACATTTAGTATAATACCCAATATAAATCGACCCAGCTGTCAATATAAAAACCAACATCGACAACGGAGGTATTTAGAAAAATCTTCTTTACCGACGTCGATCAAGTTCCTCGACGTGTTTTATTTAACCTTAGTTAAACGCGAATCTGTCTCGTTGAGATGTTAAATTACGACTCCGGGATATAGGAAATCATTAGATTTTTGGTGCACGATTGATGTACTGGCAATCTGGGTGAAATTGGTAACCAGCAGTCCGTACTTTTATAGTCAAAGGTGGGCAGGAGCGGCGCAATCGACTCTCCGCTGTTTATAAACAGCGCCTACGTGCGCGTACACGGTGGAGACCCGATGGAAGGATTTTTGCGAGGAAAGTTAACTCGCTCCCCTTGACGGCCTTGATGACGTGATCCGGTCGCGGTTATGCGAAAGTAATTCAAGACCAGCCCCGAATCTCCGACGTTGGAAGATACTCCGAGCCGGGCCATACATCTTCGAGCCGACTCGGTACGCCGTTCAAAATGCTTCGTTATGTCGATCGCTTTCGAGGAATGTATACCGGAACCGGAAACACTCGTGATGACAACGGATTATTATAAAGATTTCGAGATGCTACTGGTATAAATTTAAACGATAATCTTCACGGATGACATATTCTCACAAAACATTATTCTAATGAACGTTCAATTAACTTCCTCGAAGTAACGCACATATATTTTAGTTGTCCCATTTCGTTCATAGTTAAAAGAACGTTTAAAGGAAGTACATATACCCTTCATAGTTAAATAAAACGCTTAAAGGAAGTACACATACCCTTCATAGTTAAAAAAAAACGTTTAAAGGAAGTACATATACCTTTCATAGTTAAAAAAAAAAAAACATTTTAAAAGTACATATACCCTTCATAGTTAAAAAACCGTTTAAAGGAAGTACATATACCCTTCATAGTTAAAAAAACGTTTAAAGGAAGTACATATACCCTCCATGCCTAAGACATGGGGAGGCGGCTATCGTTCTCACGCGAGGCATTCCAAAGGTATCTAATTATTCGCATTACGAAGTTGCTCTATTATCGCGCAAGATCACGGCATCGCGCTTCAAACAAGTTTCGTTGAAACATAAACAGGACCTAAAGAAAGATCTGCAATTCTTACGAGGCTCCGAGGTCCACATCCCAATCAACGTAATTGTTGACATCGAACCTCTAGATTTGATACAATTATGATAATGGATACGAGCAAATGCATTCAGAGTACCCTCGTTTGCGATTGATACGTCACTGAGGTATCCGATACAGAAGTCATCTATCTCGACGCGCCCTAAGCCAAACCGCATTACCAGCGAAACGCATTCATACGATCATCATTGTCGACCTCGCTGCTCATCCCTAACCCGATAATCTACCGCATTACCGTTCCTACGAAGCATCAATTTCTCGAGCACGTTCGACCACGTAATGCAATGAGTTTAAGATGATATGAAAGAGTCATTGGATGGATAATAATATCTGGATATATGTATCTATATCCATATATTGTTATCCATATATTGGTAATCCCCTAGATTCAAGACTACTGTGTAGCTAGTACCCTCATCTATACAAAATTCAAATTTCTCTATCATAACATTTTGTGCTCTCTTCCAAAAACCGAACCAGGAGAAAATTAGCGAATGTAGCGCGTAATCAGCCAACATAAAGAGCACAAAATGTTAAGATGGAGAAATTTGAATTTAGTAAAGGAGTGCCAGGTACACGCACCTAAGAGTACCTACCTCTACTTCGCCCGGATCGCCGATCGATCCGGACAGGAAATCCCGTGCACGATTCGGCATCTATCGAAATCCTATTGCAGACACACAGTTTTGGAAACTTGGACTATCAGAAAGTACAATAAAAAAAATTAATATCTCCAGATCGGTAGATTCGAAGACCCCTTTTCTTCTCTAGAGTGTCCCTACTATCCGAGGCCGAATCGCCGATCGATCGATCCAGGAAACGCTGCTTGCGATTCGAGGTACCCTGTAGCGTGAACCAGCGACAGATTGGAGCACGCTCGTGATCCGCGTAATCGCTAATTAGCGGGGTCGCTGGGGGCAAACGGCCCCCGGGTGGCAAAGCCGAGCGATCGAGGAGGTCGGGGTCGGGGGCGACGCCAGGGGGAAGGGCTCCTGAAAAGAGTCGAAGGGAGTCGGAGTTCGCCTGGGTGGAGGCCCTGAAAAGCTCACCTGAAGCGTTCGTCTGTCTGGATCGCGACAGAGTGCCCGGACGAAGTGCGGATCCAGATATTCCGTCATAATAGTTACGAGCGGGCTATCTAATTACGTGGAGTGGCTCGTAGGTGCAGACTTCCGGTGGCATCGCGCGTTTCGCGTCCACCTCGGCCGAGGAGGTTGGCCTCGATCAGGGCGAGCCGGCCATGCTCCTCGAGACCTCTCCGTCGCTTTCGAGCTTCCCGAAGCCTCGTTTGCCGAACTCCCGATTTCCCGTCGACCGGGACCACCGCGACGTCCTTCTCGAGATTCGGGACTTCTTCGCGGGAGGTCCACAGCATCACCGAGATCGCTTCCTCCGGGTCTACGAGGAGTCGTCGAGATCGAGATCCAGCGATCGACGATGAGACCGGGACGCGATGGCCATCATCTTCCCCTCTAGGCCTCACCTGGAAAGAGAAGACGCTTGGTTAGGGGCAGCTGCGAGATTACCTCGTGGAGTTTAACCCTTTGAGCGCTGTCGACGCATATGTGCGTCCGACGTTTGGTCCAATACCGCGCGCACGGTCTAAGGAAATTCACCCATATGTCGAAACTGCTTAGCGCTCAAAGGGTTAAGGAAATTCCTTCCGATGAAATTTCAATTAATATGAAATTTACGTTTTCCAGATAACTTTTCTCGACCATGTTTTTCGTACGGGCATCAATATTTGGGGGGCTAGAATTTATTAGAATTTTTCGATGGTGGACGGCGCGGATTCCGCGAAGGGAAAAAGTGGAAGCAACGCAAAATTCGACGTTAAAAAACACGAGTTTGTATAAAAAGTCCAAGAAAATGTGTGTATATATATATCGACTGTTTTTAAATATTGTCGACAGTAAAGGTAAAAACGTTCCATGGAGTGAGTAGCGTCTCTAGAGGTATGTATAGTAAAACCCGATCGACCGTATTCGTTGGCGAACTTGTCGTTGAAAGTTCGGTCACTCTTGCCTCTTATCCGGATGAATTCCGAGTCAAGTGGAATTTAATTCGGCTGGCCGGGAAATACCAGAGAGAGAAACGCGGCCCACCGATCGGGAGTCGATAAAGCTCGATCGAGAAGTCGAGACGAGTGACCCGTGTCCTCTGCACCGGCCAATCGGAGTCGGGGAAGAGGTTATGTACACTGGTGAACACGAATGCCCTCCCATCATGCATTGGCGATTCCATATCTGCTGGGAAGGCATTCATGTCTCCCACTGTACGTACGTATCGACCAAACTCTCTCTTCCTAAACGCATATGGAAGTCTCGGACTCCTATGATTTCTCCTGCATTTATGTGCATGACGGGGTGCACTTAGTTGCATCATGATCTGTAACACTATGCGACTTTGAAGCTACTCGTATATCGATATTTTTCAAAATTCTGACAAAATTTAATAACGCCCCGTTTCTTTGTACACAAGGGATTTATTTATAACTCGTAAATCTATCAACTTTTTTTTTCATTTTTTAGAAGTTTTGTTATTTACATACTGACATTTAACATCGGAAGGTCAATGCTTTCAAATTTCGTGTTATCAGTTTCTCATTCGCTTGGAAAGAAAATTCTAGTTAAAAATAATAATAAAGCCTTAGTTTTACATTAGTATATGTAATAATTAATCTACCAAACAGATAAATCGGAAGAGCGATAGCGGGGGAGGTAGTCACTTGTTAAAACTGAAAAACATCCATCTAAATAGTTATTCCGTTAATTTTGTATAATTAATATTGCCAATTTGCATACAAAATTATCGTTGTGCATTTCGCAAATCGCGTTTAGGATAGCTTTATCTTATTTCGAGCGATTGAACAAAACTTTCAACGTTATTATAGATTACCATATTTTTTACCGGTGCACCGCAATATTAAGTTATCGAGGCGTCTTCATGCATTTCGCAAATCGCGTTTAGGAGAGCTTTATCGTAACTCGAGCGATCGAAATAAAATAAAGCAAAACATATATTAAATTCTCATATGAAAATAAATTATAAAATTGATATATACCAAGTCTGAATAAAACTTCCAACGTTATAGATTACCATATTTTTTACCGGTGCACCGCAATATTAAGCCATCGATGCATTTTTGTGCAATTCGTAAATCGCGTTTAGGATAGCTTTATCATATTTCGAGCGATTGAACAAAACTTCCAACGTTATTATAGATTACCATATGTTTTACCGGTGCACCGCAATATTAAGTCATCGAGGTGTCTTCGTGCATTTCCCAAATCGCGTTTAGGATAGCTTTATCTTATCTCGAGCGATCGAGTAAAATGCTTCTCCCTTCCGGCGTCCATTTCCCTCTCCGTCCCGCGGTCTTTTGGGCCGAAGAGAAGAGGAAACCCGAGGGCAGAAAGAGCGACCAAGGCGAGGCACGAGGTCGAAGGCGACGAAGAGGGAGAACCATCGTGGTTCGGTTCATCACCCGACCTTGGATAACTGACGTCACTCGAGCTACATACTCACCTTGGAAGCTCCGAGTCGAGGTCGCGAGGAGTACTCGGACTACGGGGTACACCGACCCATCTCCACGGAAACAAAGATGGCCGCCGGTGCACTGGGACACCTCCGTTCGCATCCTTAGACGATAAATATCTAGACCTCGCATAGTAGTGAAAGGGGTAAACTCGAGTACCACATGGACCACGTGTGCCGACAGTACTTGGATCCAATCAGATTTTAGACCATATATTTATGTAGACCGCCTTGGAGTGGAAGTGACAAACGAATGTACGTACATACATACCACGTGTCCCGACGACTCACCCACACGGTTAAAGCCATTCTGCTTACTGAAAATCTGGGAGTGGGAGGTCAAATGCGAGGTCTAGATATATATGGCCTAAGTTCCCATCGAACCATCCCATCGGAAAAGTATTCATCGAATGTTCGATCCACGACAGTTTATGCGACGGCGAATCCACGGCCTCGGAAATCGTTGCCATCCCTTTATCGAGCTCATATGGTTTTTTCTTTTTGTTTTTTTTTTTGTTTTTTTTTTTCGCAAGCGAATACATTCCCATGAAATATTCGGCATTACATTTTACATAAAAGTAAAAAGAAACGTTACAAGAAAGAGTCTAGGAAATCGTTGGAGGTCTTTATTTCTCATATTAATGAAGTAAAAATAATGTAAATATATTACCTTAGGTGTCAGTTTTATATTTTCACGACAGTTCCTTTGAGGTGAGAAAAATCTTACGGGTAAATGTTTATAAATGTGAAACGTAAAGTTCTTTCATCTGAAAGATCTATCCGTACTTTACCCTACTGGATTTAAAAGAGCGATTTCTATCGGTGTACCTATGTAAGGTAGGGGAACGGCGTCTTTGGGGAAACAGTCTAAGGATTTTTAGCCCTCGTACCCGCGGATTTCCGGCAATATCGGCCACCTCGTTCTGGTGAAGGCTCGTATCGATCCTGCACGTAACGCGAGCACCCTGATATCGACCGGGTCGATTCTGCCGTCGACTCGACGTGCATGACCAGCAGGCGCAATATCATCGGATCGGCGCTTATGAGGCACATTTGAGCCGTCATTACGCTCGAATACGAAGAACGGCACTTCCTCTCGCTCGCCTACTCGTCTAGGAAACACCCTCGTCCCGGTAATGGAGCAACATCTCCGGACATACCGCGTAGATGCTAAATAATCGAGTAGAATCGATCTGGAAAGGTGTGCTCCCATTGGTGTAGTCCCGAGTCGACGATGGAAAGGGACCTTCCAGGACGAAATAACACGCCTTCCGGATGAAACGAAATCCTGTAACCCCGTGACGAAGGATCGAGCCGAAATGTTGGACAATTAGCCCATCAAGAACGTACGAGATTCGTGACTCGGGTTAATTTAATACGTTATCAGAGTTACCCTACCTTCGAATTTGCTTTTAACGCAGATAGAAATTCATGATCGTCATATGATGCGGAAAATCGATTCACTAATAATTTTCTTAGGGCTCGTAAGCAACACGTTCATCATTAATTTCATGATCCTTTATGAGCCGAATTTAATGCAAATTATGCATCACTTTGTCTGTCTGGGAATGCTTTTCTCAACTTTCTGTCTCCTATTTTATTTTCAATCTCATCTCTTCCTCGAATCCCACGGATACCTGGTTTAAATGTGATTTCGAAAGAAGTGAGAAAAAGAGCACGGCTCCGATAAAGGATTATGAAGATCGACAATCCAGGATCCAGAACAGAGGTCGATAAACTGCATTTCCGGTGGCTAGCCAGTCATGTAGATGATACAGATTGTTGTTGTACGAGTATCTAATGACTAATCGATTGGAGTAAATCAGTTATCGATGCATAGATGGCCGTTATCGAATGCACCTCGGGCCAGTTATCACGGTGGATCAATGCATGACTTTTTTTCAATTTAAGCCACTGCGGCCGGTTTTTTGTTTTTCGGTGAGATTCGAAAAAACATCGGACAAATTTGGGTCACGTGAAACTGGGTAAGTGTTTTCACGTAGGTATAATGACGTTTCTACCGTGGAGGATTACTATATAATTATTAAATGATCACCGCTGAGCAACAGTTGGATCTTATTCTCTCAAGTGTAAGCGGGAATTATGCAATTGTCGTCGTCATGAAAATGCTCGGAATGCTCGCTGAGCAGGATGAGGATGCTCATTTTCGTCCCACGTTATTTCCATTACCAGAGACAATGTTGAACTCATTTCGCTTACGTTAAATTTAAGAAAACGCTTCAGTGTCGCGATTAACGTAAGCTGCCGATCATTCCCTAGATCACCATTTTAATAATAAATTCCCAATAATTACATACTATACCCATCCGCGCTCGTCAAGTCCATGTAATTTTCTGCAGCCTCGTTTAGATATTTAACATACAAAAAAAAAATCCAATCTTACCCCGTGACTCCTATCATTCGAAATTAAATTTAATATTTAAAGACTTTTACGTTGCCTGAATCCAACGCAGGATATTGTTTACATTTGTTACCACTGACTTATTGCCGGGTTTACTTCAGGGAACTTTTTCCACCTTTTATATCGAGTTCTTTAAGGGGGAAAAAAAAGATGACCAGCTTGTTCATCCGAATGAAGCAAAACGAAATGCGTGAAGAATTTCTCTCTCTCTTTCCGAGGACTAATGGAATAACCGCGACATCGTTCCTTTAAAAGCTCCCATAATGGCGCGCTTTATTGTCGCGTATTTCCCTTCCGCCTCTGTGTTAGCGTAAAATTTCATTTCAACGGGTTGAAAAAAGAGAAAGGAAAAAATAAACACCGACTTAATTAATTTCCTGGTATTCGCTTCTCTCCCGCTTCCTTCTCGTCGCACTTTGAAGGCGAAGGGTGAATGAAGCAGAGGATAAACTCTGCGGGAGGCTGCGAAACCGTTTGTTCGCGTCACGAAATACGCATCGCCGACTTCCCTCTCGCGAAGCAAC